ATTAGACCTTGTTTAAAGTTGAGGAGTGCTTTGTCTTTCACTCTCTATAACAGTCTTTTTCTACTTAATTTATCATCATTTCCATTTGCTAGCATCACTCTCATATCATTTTGATCGTGTAGCAAATGAAGCAGTGCAAGCATCGTATGGAATGTTGAGGGAAGCCAAGAAATAAGAGAACATAATGTAAAGGCATCAACTAAGAGAGGGAATTCACATTAGTGTGCAGAGTTCATTTCAGTACAACTAGTTTAAAATCAGTTTTTCCCTAAAGTATCCTGATTATTTAGGAAGAAAGAGTGAGTTTAAATTTAAGGAGGTATTTTTAGCAATCTAAATGTTTGGTTCCAAATTCCATCAAAACATACATACAGTGAGACTAAACATGTTACGCAATTGTTAAGGATAAAAATCTCATCAAGAGGAAGTGTAATTATTTGGAGTTTTTATTGAAGAAAATAACACTAGTAAGACTAAATGTTGTCCAAAACAATGCCATGTGTGAAGAATAATTTATATGATTTTTTCTTGTCATTGATCCTATGATAATTAGAAAGGACCCTCTATACCCAAAACCATTATTTTTGAAAGTGATATGAACAAAATCAAGATCAAACTGAACCAAAGTGAAAATTGTGTCAAGGAAATTTAATATTTTGTGAAACAAAAAAGGCAAAGACCTTTAGGGTAGGGAGAAGATTAAAGAAAGATACAGTTAGACGGATTTTAACAAAAATCAGGCTGGAGTAGCAGAATTCAATACTGAGCCTGTGAAACACGATCAAGTTAAAGAAATGGAAGTCCATTGACTACTTGTCTTATTAACCAACCTTGGAAATCTTGTTTTCTGGAAGCATCCTATTAAAGTTATTGAGAATGCAACAAAGAAAAGAAGACTGACCTTTGATTGCAATTATAAGCCAGAGCTCCTTAAATAAAAAACTTAAAATAAAAAAAATCATTAGCATGATTTCTATCTAATTTATCTCATTGTTATAGTTTGATTAAAGTATACCATTCTATCAATTAAAACATGTCGATAAGAGTAAGGGCATCAAACTTGCAGAATTCAGATTTCAGTCTTATTTCTGTTGCAGCTAACTTGTTCTTCATCCTTACAAACTAGGTGGTGGAATAAAAACAAGCAAAAAACAAAATGATACAATAAAACACACATAAAGCATAATTTAGCACACAAAAATGGAAATAATAAGGTGGTCCTGGGGACTGTAGTAGCTAAGAAAGCCTGGAATTTTACTCTTTTTGTCCTGAGATAACAAAACTTACCTCGGAATTTCACTTCACAAGAAAACGTCAAGTCCTTGAATTCTGAAGAAGCACCTGAAAAACAAAGCAGAGGTGACTCGTCTGTTATTTCAATGAAGTATGTAGTTCACTTGAACAAGATGACAAAGTTATAAACAAACTTAAAACATACCCTCTTCCTTCGGCTCCAGGGTAACAAGTTGAACATTCTTGCAATCTGATAGCATTAACTGTTACCACCAAACAAAGTACTGCCTTCAAGTTACTGAGGCAGATCTTCATGTAGTCAAAGTGAAACAACAAGAAGCAAGCATGTTTCCATGGATGGTCCAAGTTTAAAGCCATAACTTCCAGAAGGCCAAAAGCCATCATTCCAAGTTCCATACTGGGCTTAAATTCTTTTCTAAAATTCATCTTCATCGCCTTGATGGTACTGGAACCACCATCTGTAGGTCTTTCATCACGGGAGCATGTTGGTGTTAGAGGAGGCCCACAGAGTGCAGAATTACCCCCACCCCCCCAAAAAAAAAAAAAAAAAAAGCGGAAGCAGTAAAGCTCTGCAATTAGGTGCTTGATGGAATTTTCGCAAAAGAGTTATCATATGACAGCTTTAAGGCACAGAGGAAATGTAGCTTGGACATGGTTGAAGGAAGCCATTCTGAATCAAAGAGGCCACAAATCTGAGGTTGAATCTCTGAATCCTTCTCTATGGCCTTTTATGAAGAAACATCTAAATTGTTACAACTGCAACATACAACATTAGATTGTGAAAATTTTAGTTAAAATTATACAAATATTAAATTGTGAATTCATTTAAAAAATGGAAAAATGACTGTTAAAAAGAAAATTGAATTTAAGCCAACAGAATTCAGATAGTAATCCTATCTCAATTTCATAGCAAGCAGCTGCAGCCAGCTCCTTACAATAGAAGATGCAAACCACACAGACAAACATACATTGATTTATTGCACAGAAAGAACGAGATAACCTTCTACTCACGTTTGTTTTGTTATTTGTCATTACTTACACCAGCAAGACAGAATGGAGAAGTTGAGTCCCTGAAGGATGAAGAAACATATTGAAACTGAAGTAATGCACTTGAACAAGAAGATGGTATGAACGAACATAACCATACCCACTTTTCCAGGCTAAGGGGAAGGGAGTGACTTTGGCTCTTAAGACTTCAACTTTCTTTGCAATCTGGCAGCATTCACCGCACCAGCAAACAAAGTGGAGGATCCAATTTTTAAGAAAGAACTCCCAAAGAGCCAAAGGCCATTACAAGTTCCATACTGTGTTAAACCCTTTCCAGAATTAATCTAGGTCATCATGATTTTCTTCGCCACCATCTGTGTGTTTTTCATCTCCCTGACATCTTGGTTTTGGAGGGCACTTACATAGTGCAGAATTACTATCAAATGCAGAAGCATAAAAGATATATAGAGATAGAAGGGGAAATGAATTACTGTTAGAGCATTGGTGCATTGCCTTGCCTGCTCCTCCTAAGAATAGAAGTTAGACAGAATTAAATGAATAAACATTCTCTTTTTTCAAGAATGAATCACGTTGTTAGGCTAAAGCAAACATCAAATTAGTATTACAAGACTAATGCATCCATTTATAGATGTTGTTTGCAGGAAGCACTTGATTTGATGCAAAGTTGTCAAAACCCATAGAAAATGCTCTAAGAGAACACTTAAATTTCGGTTATAAACAGCAACCCCTTAAATAAAAAACCTAACAGAAAAAATGTGTATGGAATTGCACAAACAAAAGCGAAACTCATTTTATAGTACTGTTACTTGCACTTGTTAATGGCATCCATGCTACACCTAGCACCAAAAATGGTTGCTGTGTGCAAAAGAAATGGAAGAAAAAAAAAGCATAACAGCTACTGGATTATCCACTTTAGTAATTAGATTCTCTAAAGATTAGAAGAACAGGCAAATAATTCATTATTGTTTTCTAATTTCACAATTCACTTGAAGTGATTTGCTTGCATTGTTGTTTCCATTGAAATATTAAACTCGAAAGAAACAGAAGCAGCACATACCCAATACACAGACAAAACAAGAGCTTACCTTTGATGTGAACTCCGCAGCCATTTCAACTCAAAACCCTAACGATGGGTTGAAAAGCCACGAGTTTATTGAAATTATTCACAGAAAACAGAACCGACCATCTATGTAGTTTAGTGATATGCGATTGGAATTTTTGGGATGAAGAAACAGGGGAAGTGAGAACTAGAAATTACCTGCTTCATTGGCGACGCGTATCTCCAGCCCTACATCTCTTGACCATTCCGGAAATTTTGTGAAAATATAGGAAAAGGCTCATTTGGGCAGAGGAACAGAGGAACTGGATGAGGGGTGCCTGGATGTTTGTAATCCTACCCCACATCACTTGACCATTTGATTAATTAAAGATAATATTTTAAAATTAACATAAAAACTATAAATTAGGGTTTACACGCACTGACTTTCTAAGTTTTCTGTCTTTCTCCAGATTACAGACTTAGTTAAATAACAGAATACAAATCCATATTGCATATCAATTTCAAGCAAATTATTACAAAATAGAAGATAGAAAACCAAGTGCTCAGCTTGGACTTATTGATGCGGAAAGAGGAGAAGACATCCTGGAAGTTCACTTGGCAACATGAAACATCTTGAACCTGAAAAACAACAAATAAGAGGTTATTTGCACTGTTAATTTTTTTCTTTTCATAATCAAGTTATGAAGATGCCACACAAGATTAGAATAAATGTGTATCGACCTTTACCGGCTTCTAGGAAGACACTGATGGCTCGAACAACTTCAATTTTCTTCGCAATCTGGAGACATGTTCTCTCACCAGCAAACCAACTGCTGCTACAAGTAAACAAAGGCAGCCCTTCAAGTTGCTGAAGCGGACCCTCACGTTGTTAAACAACAGGAAACAGAGATGTTTCCATGGATGATCTAACTTCACCGCCAGAACTCCCACAAAGCCGATGGCCGCTCCAAGTTCCATACCCGGTTTAAACGATTTCCAGAATTCATCCATGTCTCTGTTTTTGGGTTTGCTCTCTGATTTTTCATCTTCGGGACAAGTTGGTGTTAGAGGAAGCCCACAGAGTGCAGGATTACCGACAAATGAAGAAGCATCAAATGTCTGTATTTGGGGTCCCGATGGGATTCTCCCAGAAAAGTTGTTATATGACAGGTTCAAGGTGCCGAGGAAATATAATTGGGACATGCTCCAAGGAAGCTGACCTGAAAGCTGGTTCCATGACAAGTCAAGTGATTCTAACTTTCTCATCTGCCCAATGTTTGGAGGAATCCATCCCGTTAACTGATTTCTTGATAAGTTCAATTCAACCAGTTCCAAGAGAATCGACATCTGCACAGGAATCTTTCCTGTTAATTTGTTGCTTGAAAGATCAATAATTTTCAAAGTCTTGAGATTTCCATTCTCATAATCACGCTCCATTCCTTTCCACATTACAAATGCTTTGTCAGCATAGCTTCCTCCGTACC